AGATCCAATCCCTTGTAGATTCTTTAGTTAGAGTTGCATTCGGGACATTTAAGTTAGAATTGATTAACACCGTACATAGAATATCAATTCCTTTCTTAAGACTCCCACGAGCTCCATGAATTTGGCATTTAAAATGATAGCTCCGGGTGTGGAGAGTGCATAGGCGCAGCTTTTGTTGCTGCTTTTATAGTGTAGAGGTAACTAATACAGAGATTAAATTGCAGATGTATAATTCAGAAATTCAGGCTGAAGTACAGGCCATTGTTATGCCCTTAAGATAAATATACAGAAATTTAAAATTGAACATATATTTTATATATATTCTGATTGTCTTTCTGCGCTTCAGGTTCTTTACGGCCCGGATAACTGTAATCAAGCCTTCGGTGACATTAAGGATTTGTATGTAAAATTTAAAGAAAACAACGACTTTGTATTTAATGGATCAAGGCACATAGCTGCTTTCTGGAAACGACAAGGCGCATTCTTTAGTCAATTAGGCAACATATGCTGTGGGTGATTATGAGATCAATGTTCCAGGTGCAAGACAAAAGGCTATTTACATCATGTTTAAAAATATACCGGAATCTTGGAATATATGCTGCATGAAGTGTAACAGAAATGAAAATTCTTACTTTTTTTAAAGTGTGGAAAACATGGAGGTTATGAACGATATCGACTTCAATCAGCTTGTTACGAGCCATAGCAGCTTCCCACAAGATTTATCAAGATTTGGTGTCCAGGGCAATCCATTCCGTAAAGTTTGAAATGTAGTGGGTAATAATATGCATTTTCTTGAATCATGTGAATTCATTGCTGGTCTCCGAAACGATTTTGAATGTACCAGCGAACGTGATCATTAGTCTAAGAAAAATATGAAACCGCATAAGATATTATGAAAATTATAAAGAATAAGATGGATAGGATAAGAATTAAATTTAGTGCTATTTACCATTTTTTTGTATTGTGTGTGGATGTGATATGTCTTTGCTTGTGATTATATATTTGAATTTGCTTTTTTTCATTATATTTTTTTCTTTCTTTCCCCCTCGCTCTTAATGCTCTATCGGGTGCAGCCCATTTTCATATAAAATGAATTTACATTCACTTGCTGGGCCTGGCTGCGTCCAGATCCTAACTAACGAATTTAACAAGTAAAGTAAGACTTAGGTAAATTGATCTACTTGGTAGAATCAGCTACGGAGTGCATTGAGTGTGACAATAAACATTTAACAGAGTGCCTGATATAAAAAGATAAAATAATACATTAACGAAAGCAATGTACGATATTATTCAAGGTTCTGATTAAAGCGCAAGACATAAATTAAAAGATAATTAATGTGCATATATATACACACATATTAAAAACTAAGAACACAAAAATAAGACAAAAGCAAATAAAAATAAATAGAAGAGAAAGGAAACGTTAATATATACTAAACCCGAGTATAGAACTTATAGTGGCTGTGGTGGCTTCGAGGATGGCAGCTGAAAATTACTCCAGCCAGTTTTACATTCTATGCACGTTACGGATGCAGTCGCATAAGAATTTCAAAGCATAACTTCAGCCCATGCACGGTTTGATCCTCTGCTAGCTGTCTAAGGTGAAGTTCTGCAGTCTCTCCTGCAAACGAACGCAAAGTGATTTGGACCTTCTGCCGCCCCGCATAAGCACTGCTCATTTTTACGTCGCCTAAAGTGAATCTAATAGCCTGTTAGAAATTGAATAAAGTGAGACGAGCCATTTCTTGAAACTGATTTATTTTTGTAAAAAATCAGTGGACTCTCCTGGTAATATTCACTGTTGTCCACAGATGTTTGCAACACACCAAGTGTGAGTATGCGGATCTGCTGCTGTCTCGATTGTAGCATTTGCAGTTTCATTATTAAATATTCCTGTGCGGGCAGGTATGTACTGAAGTTTGGGTTTACGGTTGCGTGATATATTTATTAGGAGATTTTATATGATCCTGACGAGTGTACTTTTACACTATGTGTTTTGGATTGGCTGTAGGCTAGAGGAAGAGTCTGTGTAAATATTGTATAGATATTAGCCAATGTAGGCAAGTGCAGCTTTTAATGCAACTAACCCAGCCTGAAAAATTGAGCTGTGCTGTGTGAGCTTTCTTTCCCACATCTTTATGACCTGGCTTCCAAGTTTGATCTTAATGCTCGTGTAGTACTCTTTCAAAGATGAAAACTTGGCTTTCGCGATCTGCGTTTTGTGGAAAGCGTTGTTCTTTCGAAATTTTAGAGAAAGTGTCGCTCTTTCTGTGCGTTACTTGCAAGCTTGCATTCTTCGCCTTAGGGCAAAGACCTTGCTGTGTTCTGTCGCCAGATTGGAGTTCCACCTGCCACGCAGATATTATGAGCTTACTTCCAATCTCTCACCAGAATTCGGGCTCGACCCCAATGATACGACAGCCAACAACACTAACCCCTATATCGATCATGGAGGCTTTATTTAAAATGCATATTTTAGAGTTGTATAAACTGTCTTAGCTAAAAATGTGCAACAGTATGTGATTATGCTAACCGTACGTGCAGTGAGGCAAATATATATATCAGGAAATTTTATCCTAAGAGAAAAAATGGAAATTAATTTAAGAGACTGTGTTGTAGCTCTGTAGTTCATTATTCGTCAATAAATAAATTAATAGTGAACGGATGAATGAATATTATTGATTTTAATTGGTTAAGACTATATCTTACAAATCGTTAATTCATTATGAAGTGAAGTAATTCCTTTAATCAGATTTTCCATTCAGTAAGATAATAGAAAGGCAAATCCACCGACAACTGCTTATATTAAAGATTTTATATCCTACATATTTCGGAGAGCAAACGTAATTGATAAAACTACTTTTATCCAGAAATATTGTAACGCATTTTTTTTTTTTTTTTTTTTTTTTTTTTTTTTTTTTTTTTTCAAGAAAGTAACAAAATAATCCTTGACTGAGGAAAATTATATTTTTCATTTTGAGGGGCAAAACACTTCACCTTAACAAAAAATTCTAGAAATATTATACTTTACAGGCATATACGGTTTTTACTGTTCACATTCAGTAACCTATTCTCCTTTGTGAACGAGTTCTAAGAAGAATAAATGTTGAAGGTTATTTTATGCTTATTAAAAGCTCTCCTATTGGAAGTGGTATTAAACGTAAGAAATAAGGAATAGTGAGGAAACTCCTGTATATTAATTTGTCATGTTGGTAAGAAACTTCAACAAAGAGATCTGGATTATATATGAATGCCAAAGTTTAATGCTCGAAAGTACTTCGAAGCTTTTAGTTTGCAAAGACAGTATAACTCAAAAATATGTGTTTTAATATTTGCATTTTATCATCAAAATTCAATAAACGTTAAAGAGGTTCCATTGCATTGAAGCTTATTTTTTGCTTTAAAATATGAATTTCATAAAGTCAGTACATAATACTTTATTTCGCATTCTGAGTTGACTGAATATCATAAAGACAAATATTTTAAATATTTACTGTGGAAATTTCTCCATTTATGAAATTTGAATTAAAAATCAATTTTCTAAAATTTTTCTGAGGTGTAAAACTTATTAATGCGACAAATTCTGCATTTGAGAGCAATTCAAATTTAAGGTAAAAATAGCAACATTTTAAGCCAAGTGCAAAATTATAGAAATTTCATCAACTTGTATAAACTGAAATATGACTGCGAAAAACTTGATATTAGTATTATGGAGAGAAAAACCTTTATTGAAATTTTAATCAAATGGATCTGGATTTAGTCCAAATTACGCAACATTAAAACTAAAATTAAATGTATTCTGCTAGATTTACTTTTGATTGCCTGTAACAATAACTATTTCTCAAATTTCTAATTTTTACTTTGAATTCTGATTGTTTCATTCATTTTACGAAAATCTGAAACTATTCGTTTAACTTTGCAAATGGCAGATATTTAATTCCAATCGACTATAGGTAATAAACGCAATCATATTTAGAGATTTATTATTTAGCATCATATTTTAATGTACTATAAATGTTATGATTTGAAAATATAAAGATTCTGTAGTTTAATAATATTTTGGTTTTTTTCTTTTTTGTAGTTTAATGGAAACCTAGGCATTTAAATTTTCATAATTAACATAGTATGAAACATAACATAGATTTTCATAATTAACATAGTAATAATTAACATAGTATGAAAGCTTCAGCACAGTATATTTTTATTGCTATTTACTAGAATATTTTATGTATGATCCGATATTTCAATTGCAGATGTGTGGATATTATTTTTACGATACTCACGTTTATGTGCATATTTACGCGATTATGCAACGAGGGCGTGCTCAAGAAGCATATATAGTATTTCAAGAAGTATAAAGAAAGATTTGAAAACAAATTCTTCATTGTTGAAACGCTTAGTACTTCATGAGATATATGCGAATTCGTTACACTTTTATTGGTCAATATCAACATTTCCACAAATGAAACGTTCCAATAAACTAGAAGTTTATTTTTACTTATTTTAAACTTTCTTAACGACTTTAAACTTGTTTTAAACAATATTTATTCCTTGTGCAATTGAACAGCTTTGTGCTTAACGTACAAGTAACTATTCATAACAAATTTTAATTAATCTGTGTTGAATCGAATACGTGATTTTACTTTCTCTTTCAATTTTAATGTTATCTTAGAACTTTCTGCATATTTTTTCACGCATTTGTGTAGTTGCTTAGTTTGAATAAAAGTAATTGAACCAGCTGTAACACAAGGATGTAACATTATTTTTGCATTTTACATATTCTCCAGGATTTTCCCTTGTTTAAAACATTTTAAAACTCAGCTTATGATTTTGTCAGCTAATAATTTTTTTAAGACGGTAGCTATAATTATTCATTTATTTAATAAAAGGTCCTAGTTTTGCTTTTATTATTGGCTACTTATTTTACGCTCAAAACTTTTATTTACTCAAAAATTGAATCGTCGTCCATGATCATGATAAAATGCATTTATATTCCATAGACTCTCCAGTATGTGCTTCCCGTCAGCAACGGATTTATCCCATTGTCTACCAAGGAAAGAGTAACATCTCTTGTTCAGTGGACGCAGATCCTGAGAAAGTGTCCTTCAGGTGGACTCTGAATGGCAGCGTGGTCAGGGAATTAGGAGGAGCTTCGGTGGTCGAAACAGCCGGAGGAGCAAGAAGCGTCATCGAATATCAGCCCACGACAAAGATGGATTACGGATTCGTGTACTGTCACGCGAAGAACTCCATCGGAGATATGAGAGAACCTTGTGTATTCAACGTCGTTCCTACAGGTAATGTCTTAGATGCGCCCCAACCTTTGATTAATCGAAATTGCATTCCTCAGCTCCTCTGCGGAGATGTGCTTATCCGATAACCGGAATTTCCGTCAATGTACCTTTTACCTTTCATGCAATCAGAAAAGAAAAGCAGATGAATCGAATAAGAGGACGCCCACATTGATAAAAATGTTTCTTCTTATAATAATCTTCACTTTCTTGGCCGAGGTGTTTCTTAGTATTAATCAAAATAATGTTCGCAGAAATTTCTATCATCGCGTTTATTCTACGCAAATGTGTTTTACTGTATCAGTGCAATAATATAAATTTTATAGGGCCGTTCTTTATATCTTTCAGTGATACATTGGCTTCATAATTTGTACAAATAGACGGGCACAAAAAATTTACTTCCGGATACAGGTTTATCTAAATGCAACAATATTATTAGTTACTTAAATAGGTGAAATAATTTTATCGGATTTTAAGTTATTGTTCAGAAATAAGACATTTTACCGAGTAATATGTTTTCCAGAATTAAGGCAATTTATTTAATTTTCGTAAAAATAGCTAAAATTTAATATCCCTGATAAAACACATAAATTGCTGATAAATAAATAAAAATTATTAAATCTCTGATAAAATACATAATTATTTAAATGTACAAAATTAATTAAATATATCCGATTCTTATAATTTTGAAAATCTTACTTGATTTATTACTATTATGTAGCAAAAAATGCAGAAATTCTTATATAGTCTTGAATGAATTTATTTGTCATAGTAGTTAAATACTAATTCCAGTAGTTATAAAATTATCGCACGAGGACAACTAAAGGATAACAAAAAAAAATCGGTTTATTTGTTACGGAAAAGCACGCGAGGGCAATCTGCCTAACCGGAGGGATGCCTTCGTGGAAAACTTTTTAAATGAACTGCCTAGCGTACACGTTACACACGAGGAAACAGATAAAAACGCCTATTCAGCCAGACCGTTTGCCGGAATTCGAGGAGCGAACCGAAATACCAGTGTCCAGCGACTTTACCGCTCGGCGGCTGGTGGGCCCTTAACAGAAAGGAAACGTCATTTTTCTCACATGAAAGCTTATTAAACAAATAAAGAAGTTAAAAATATATAAATTAGCAATATTTATAGTTTTTGAAATACTCCTTTTATTTATGCGCTTAAGTTTTCAAACTGGAGATTATTTTTTTTTCTAATAATTTCTAATAATAAATATGATGAGAATAGATTGTGTATCACAAAACATTAATAATCGACCGAGAACAATTTGAACGAGATTCAGATTTTAAAACTAAAATGCTTCAAAAATGAGGTATTAAAAAATTTCCGCCCCCCCCCTTTTTTTTTTTTTTTTTTTTTTTTTTGTTTTTGTTTTGCTTTATATAAAAAGAGAAATAACGACACGATGATTTGAAAACATGGCGAAATTAAGAACAACATTAATATCGAATCAGGGCACGTTATTAAAATTGAATTTTTTCTAAATTAATGGCAACTAATTTTTAAATTAATAGTATATACATAGACTGACTAACTAAATGGTTTATTTTTCATACATTTATTATTTTCTTTCCCACATTTATTACATCATTGAGCTGCACCTGCTCTCGTCCTTTTTTTTCTAACATTAAAAATCATGTCATAATCATTCAGTAATTCCAATTCAACATTTGTGATGCTTAGCATTGCTTCCCAAGCAAATCCTGAGGTACTGTAAAGTATCATACGAGATCTAAATCATATGTTTTTAGGGATACATCTTTGAAGTTGTCAAGATATCTGGCAGTATCAACACATCCGTTTTTAAATACAAATATGTATATTAACCTAAGTTTTCATTCTCAAATTCATTACAGATTTCTGGCTTTCTTTTATTCTTCATTAGTATATTTGTTTTCATTTAATATATTATCAAATTTTTCTTTAATATATTATAATTTTATTTATCATCTAAATTTTGAGATGGCAGTTTTGTTTCTTTATATCTCTGTTTACACTCCATACAGTTATACCTTTTAGTGTAATAAGACTTGGTTTTTCACAGAATAAAATGTTAAAATTTTTCTACACATTTCCAACTTAAGATGTTGGAATAAATTACAAGTGCTGGGTGGTATAAATTTAAATGAATCTACAAACCTCATTTTCACTCTTCCGAGATTCTTCACTAAACAATATATATTTTTTCCGATATATGGAATAATTTCAGTACTAGTTTTATCTCATTCATGTTCTTTTAGAAGCAAATACATATCTTGTCCTGCTAATTTATGAATTGTTATAGGAATATAATAAAGAATTCGCTATTTTAAACAGCAAATATTATAAGTTGGTCCTCGATATTTTTCGGTTAAATCTGCCAATAATCTATAACTTTCCTTTTATCATTTCAAGCACCAAGTATCATTAATTTTAACATTTATGAAAAACTTTTGTACTTTTTATAATACTCTTCATTACAGTCTACTATGTTCCTAAAGTTTTATATTTTTTCGTTTTCTCATCAATAAATTTTTCAGTTTCTCGAACATTATTAGTTAACAAATTTATGAAGTTTCTCAGCTTCTCTGTAAATAATAAGTGGTTTATAAAACTTTTAAGTCTTCTTTTGAATAAAAATATCTTGAACACTTGCCACGTAGAAATGTTTGATGTGTATCTATTTGACTTCTTATTAATCTGATAACAACCTCTTATTAATAATGAGAATTTCGATATTTATCGATATCATGTTCACTTCAGGAATTACGTAGTTTTTTTTAAAGTTTATGATTGTAATGGGTTTTCAAAAGATCTTTTCGTTTGAAATATATGATTAATTAAATCATATTTAAGCTTTTAAAAAGTTATGAATATCATTTGCTCCCAATAAGCAAGCATACAGTTGTTTTACTGTATTATTTTTTAACTCGATTTATATACTAATATTTTAGAAAACGTAAATTTCATATTTGGTGCTTCTAAAATGTCTGTCCGTTCATATGTATATTTTTCCTCATTAACACTTAATTCTTGTGTATTTAATCATGGAATCACAATTTTTACAATTGAAAAGATAATATTTACCGGTCTGATAAACATTATCCACAGTTGCATTATTTTACAAAATTTATATTTCTTAGTCTCTCTCTCTACATATATATTATTTTTATAGACATAGTAGAATATGAAAATATAAGAATAAAATTAAAAGGTGTTACAGAAGGATATGTCTCCATTCTATTTTTTGAATCTGTAAATATGGTTGAATAGTTATTTCTTGCTCTGTTTTCAGTCTCATATCCAAATGCTCACCGACTTTAACCTTTGCTAAAAGAAAGTTTCTTTTGGAAATTCCGTATATATGCGAAATGCAATATTATCATAACTGATATACAAGACCTGGTTCAAACAATTCTATAAATAATGAAATTTTGTTTAAAATTTAATGAAATCCTAAATCATTGCATAAAATGTTATTATTTAAAAATTTTGCGATGTTGTAGAAATGTCAGTTTTTCTGACGTTTAAAAGTAATCAAATAAGCAGTTGTTGCTTATTTTAGTTGTTATTTCAATAACTTGCATAAAATGGAACCATCGTTTCATAAACTAAATGTTCCGTTGCGACATATTGGTCCTTTACAGGATCTGTGCAATTGGATAAAATTTTATCTTCCATGTCATAATTCTATCATCTATTAATCATATAGGAGAAGAAACATAAATCCCTTCTGCATAGTATTGTACAACATTATCATCCTTTTCAATAATCACATTTATTGTTTCCTCGAAGTACCCCTTATAATTAAAATCTTTTGCTTCAGTGGGATCTTTTAAAGTTTCCAATTCCTCTCTCCTTTGCATCCAAATTATCTTTAATTTTACTTTCGATGTCGTAATTTCTATCGCTTGTCAGTCTAAAACTGCCTTTCTCTGTTCGTTTATTAAACTGAAAATACGCTATCATTTAATAAAGATAAACATGTTTCATTTTCCCAAAGACGGTTCCATTTAAATGTAGGCAGAAACCATGTTAATTTTACAGATCGCATAGGGGATCACAAAGACACTTAAAACTTCGTCTCATGATGATGTTATGTCGAGAATTTCAATTTTTAATATGTGTTTTAAGTTATTATTATTCTAATATTTTTATTTGTATTCATGTGTATTTTAATCTGGAAAAAAAGTATTCTTAAGCTCTTAAGGTTTTATTTTACTCATTATTCTTGAGTTGGAATTGTGACAAAGGCGAGAGACGGTGGCGAGGACACACATCTGGTTTATGGCCTTTTCCAACATTGGAGGCAGTTGGGAGTCGTGTGTCGCCCTTTTAACTCTTTGCGTGGGAAACGGAAATCGCTTTGTTAAAGTTTGCAGTCTTCTTACTTCAAGACAGTGGGAGGTGTACTAAGTTAGATAATTGGTGCTCGTAAAAGCTAGTTTCGCTTGTTAGTTGGGGGGTCTACTTCTTTTTCTCACGTTATGTGTGCAAATGTTTTTCGGATTGCATTGTCAGATTTTCTGTTTTCTGGTGTTTGATTCGTCATGGGTGTGTCATTTTCCCTCAATTTAGATAACATAAAATTCCGGGATTGGTAAGATTTAATTTTATGATTTTTGTGAAGCCTATGAACTCACAGAGGCGGAGAAACCGAGTTTTCCTGGGTGCTTGCACCAGGCTAGAGTTCATTCTGATTCTGTTTCCTGATTCTTTCAAGCTAAGAGTAAGAAGAGGAGTGGGGGCTTGACCCCTTGCGGGTCTTGCTCTCGCGAATGCCGTGTACCAGCGGGCGACGGTCTTGAATTTCTATCGGCTTTCAGCTGATGAGAATTTTGCGCAAATTGAGACTAAGTGCTTATGCAAAATATAGCTTTGCTGCTGCTTCGTTATATTTTCCCAAGAACTTTAATTTGACATTCTCGAGGTTACCTTAATACAGATTTTGTTGTAGCGTTAGCGTTCCTGATTTAAAAGCAGTTGGACTAGCTGTTGAACTATCTAAAACTCC